CATGATATTTATTCTTGATTTCATAGTATAAAGTAGTTAGATAATTTTTATATAAATAATAAATTTTCCTCTTTTTATCTTTGATTAGATATAGATTTTGAGCAACAAAAATAACAAATCGGAAGTATGTCGATGCCTCAACCACCCCAAAATTGGCCACAAAATGAAAGAGATGAATCACATGATACAAAAAAACTTCCAGGTATTAAATCTCATGATATTTATTCTTGATTTCATAGTATAAAGTAGTTAGATAATTTTTATATAAATAATAAATTTGCCTCTTTTTATCTTTGATTATTTATAGTTTCTAATGAGAGTGAAGAGCAATCTAAGTGAACTAGGGGTCCCACTATGATGCACTCAGGATGGGGGAAAGATGGTGGAAATTTACATATTGAATTGAATGAACATGGTCAAGTTATTGGGTTAGAAGGAACTAGATTGAGTTCAAAACTTGGGTTGCTAGCACGAAATGGCATCTTAGCGCCACTGAATCATAAAGATTGGACGCTTGTATCTAGTATGTACAAGGATAGAATATGGGCTTATATCAAGGTTCTTAGTATACACAAAACCTATATACTAAGATGTTTTTGTTTTTAAATTTTATTTTATAAATGAGTTGTGTATTAAATATGTGTACAGGAAAATACTAATGTAACTGATGACATGAAGCGCATACTGATGATGTCATTTGGATCTAAATTGAAAGAATCAAAGCATGAAGCAAAAACCATTGGATATGACCCATATAAAACTGATATTGAGAGTTTAGCTCATTGTCCAGATAGAGTTGAAGAAGATCAGTGGCGTTCAATTAGTTCATTATTGGAGCTCAAAAGAAGCAAAGGTATGTGCTAGATTTCTATTTCTGCATTTGCTCTAATAAATGAGAATTTCATAGAAGTTGTCATAAATTATTAAAGTCGTGTCCTGATTATACTTCTTATTGTAGAACAACTAGTAAGTTCTTTCTTGATTTGTCCCTTTCTTCTAATTGGCAGAAATAATGTTGTTGTACATGTCCAGTTTGCCAACCTGCCCAAAATGTACTTGTATAGAAAATTGATTGCACTTTGTGAAACTCAACTATGCTACTTTTTTATATTTTTTCTTGGCTATTTCTTTTATATATTCAATATTGCGCATGTCCGCTTATATATTGTTGTGTTCAAATTTCTAGGAAAAGAGTGAGAGAAACAAAGAAAGTCGAAAAAATTGACTATGCCACACACATCAAGGAGAAAGTCATTTTCAAATTATAGACGATGTACGTAGTAATCACTATTTATTTTCTATAATTTATATATTAAATAATACTTATCGTGAATAGTTAATGTCAATCTCTTACTATTCAAACAGATGACAAAGATGAATAATGGTGTACACCCAACTCGTATTGAGGTGTTCAAAAAAACTCACATTAGAGCGAATAAACGACCAGTAAATGAGATAGCTGCTGAAGTTATGGTAAACTCTTACTCTTTAAAAATACATAGGTACTTTCTTTCTATTACAATTTTTTTTTAAAACTTCTCATTACTTTACCTTTCTTTCAAAAAGAAACAAATGGATGATCTTGCCGAGGTGTATCCTAAGTTGAATGTCCATGGAAGTACTCCTAATGATGTGTACTCCCAAGTAATGGGATCAGACACTCATGGAATTGTCCAAACTCTAGGAAAAGGAGCATCTCCTAGCTTAGTATATGGCCCCATATATAAACGATCTCAGGCTGAAAAAAGAGATTTTGATACAAGGGTTGAGATGGAAGTTCAAAAAGCTACCTCAGCTATGAAAATTGAGATGACAGAGAAGATGTATGAAGCAAAAAAAGAGATGGAAGCGATGGCTAAAAAGTTGTTAGAAGCGAAAGAGGAAGCAAACGAGAATAACGAAGTGATGGAGAGAAAATTATCGGAAGCAAAAATGTATATGGAAGAAATTATAGCGGATAAAGTGAAGGAAGGAATAAAAGCATATGTAGAGTCTTAGGGAATTAATATTGACGAAAATTTATAATCAGAGCAGATGAAATAATTGTGTTGCTAAAAAAAAATTACTTTTTTTAGATGAAAACTTAGTTTCTCTTAATTATAATGGTCTTCCTCTTTTGCAATAGGTTCCTGATAACCCACTTGAAGATTGTCAACAACCATCATCACCTGTTCAAGGTGTTCACACAAGAAAGGTTAGAGAAAATTTCATTAAAATTTTGAATTTTATTTTAATTGCGTAAATCCTAACATTTATATGATCACGAGATCAACTAATTCCTCTTTCTTGTTCAATATGGATTAATCGACAAACTGTTAATTGCGCGTCATGTACACATAAACAGTCTAAGTGATCATCTTTTTCTTTTGGTTCTTGTTGTTGTTGTTGTTTTTCAGTTGATATAGTGAAATTATAAACTGTGTTAATTTATCATATTATTTCTAGTTTTCACCACAAAAGCTAAAATGCCTAATCATACACACTCCAAATAGAAGCCTCGAAACTCGAATCAAAAATCACACTAAACCAAAAGGACCCATCCGTAGCTGATGGAGCTGAATTTTTTTTGATCCGACATCAGAATCTTTAGATGTTGACAAAAGTCAACTCTTTCATGCATTAAGCCTCCAAAATTGAAAAACTTAGCACCAAAGACTATGTGTCCTGATCATACTCTAATGTATCATTTCATAATCTGTATTTATGATGTTGCTATGTTCATTTTGACCAACTTGAACTTGTAGCTCTTGCCCCTTATTCTCTTCTGTCCCTGCTGCTTGTTGTTGACTTCTTTTGATGGCATTTCTCTTTTTTTCGCTTAGTTTTCCCTGAGATTTGTTGTTGATAGTTTGCCCTTGCTTTGTGCCCCCACTGTCTTGTATGTTTTGTTCCTATTCTCACTAATGAACATTTTTTTTTTTTCTGAGTGTTATGAGAAGTATTAAGATTACCTTGTTGATCATTCTTTTTACTATGTCCCTGACCAGAAACTATTCCCTGATGGATGAGTTGATTGTGCTGGTTTTCTTGTGTGGTCTGATTTGAAGTGGTAGCAGAATCTCTAGGGTCTTTCTTAGGGTCAGTGTGTAAATTCTCATGATGCAGAAACCCCCCTTTGGATACCCCTTCCTGCAAGTTAGTAATGATCTCCTCCAACCCTCCATCCAACACTCCAACAGCTTCCACAATAGTTAAACAATTATCTAAAGGGTGAGGGGTAATGGGAGAATTGAGTCAATAACTTTGATCTTAGAGGCCTTTGTATTTCCTTCTTTGTCCATACCTACATGTACATTAGGCATAGAGGGAGGATTTTGGGATATAGGAGTTGGTAACACAGAATCTTCCCCTAGTTTGGCCTGTGTTTTCCCAGCTGGTGCCTTGTCTTCATGATGAGTTTTGCATGTACATGGACAGTTTGGCAGATCTGGTTCAACAAGATCAATATAAGAGTTACGAGTAATAATATTTTTACCTGTATGACTGTGACTTTCTGGGAATTGGCCTGATCCATCTGTTCTTGAGTTGTCTTAGGTCTCTCCTCATTGTTTGTATTGTTTTTGTTATTCTTTTTTTTTTTTGAGTTTGCCATTGTCTTCCTGTTGATTTTGCTCTTCTTCTTGGTAATGATGTTGCCTTGAGTCTATATGTGATGTTGTATTATTTTTCTTGTCACTCGACTGCATATTCTATTGTTCAGTTCTTCCTTGATCACCCTTATTTTTGTTCCTTTTTTCTTTCTTGAGTCCATGTTTGAATCCTCATTATGCCTCAATTTAACCGCAAAAGATTGTTTCACAGCATAAGGTGAAAGCTTTGGGATTACCTTGTTTTTGGCATTATTTTGCTGATTGTGGGTTTGGAGATCCTGCACATTGCTACCCTGCTTCACATCTGTCTTGTTTCTCTAAAATAGTGAGCTTGTTTCAATTAATTTGTAGATTCTCTTATTGCCTTGTCCAGGAAAATAGTCGAAGCAAATAGCATGATTCCTTCGTATGTGTTTATTGTCAAATAATTCTGGATGTAGTTTTGTTCAGATGTTTCCAGGTTTGTTTTTTGGAGTCTAAATAGACCCAGTCTGAATATTGATTTATTAATAATGAGCAGCAATGAAAATGTGATACTGAACTCTCTAAATGTTTTTACTGAATTTGTCGTTGTCAAGTTATAATTAGAATGGATTATATATATGTTTGTGCAGTCTGGATCTGCTTACATTAGATTTGGGACCTTGTTCTGGAGGTCTTTTATTGTTTGATGTGTGCTAAAATAATTTTAAGATTAGTTCAAGTATATTTGAAGCTCATGCAGTACCAATGCAGATGTCAGTAATAATGTACTGGAATATGTATTTAGTTCTATGAACTTGTTGCATGTGACTGAAAGAGGTGGTTAGTTCTAGAGAATGGGTCATTTCCTTCTAGAAAAGGAAATAATTTAACTGAATATGTAAATCTGGTAAGGTCTTATATTGTTTATTGTGTGCTATATAATCTGTGTGCTGGAGATTTTAGCTTATTGTAAGATGAGTTCTTACAATAAACAACATACATAGTGTGATCCCACTACTGGGGTCTGGGAATGGGTTCTTACAATAATGAACATTTTTTTTCATTAAGTAGTTTCTGTTATCTGCTTTTTTGGGAACTGCGAGTTTTTTTGGGATATGATTCTTTAAACTATCAGAAATACTTAAAAAGAGATAAAAGGACTATCCAAACAATCATATCCAAATATACTATGGTAGATTATAACTCATATCTCATAAAAAGAAATCCTTTGGATGATACTTTGAGCTATCTGAGTTTTTCATCGCTATGATTTGGTTTGCTGCTTTTTTTAAACAAAGCTAGGTTTGGATCTAGTTGGATTTGGAGCTGAAGTGTTAGAATTTGATCATTGCGACTTCTGATAAGATAATTTGTTCAATTCTAGTATGTTTTAATGTTGTTTCTGTGTATTTATGGAGTTTACTATTTCTACAAGTTTATGTGGTATTATTTGAGTTGCATTGAGTCATCTTCCTTCAACAACATTTCTGGAGTACGCGTGAAATGAGTCTCTGACTTTTGACGCATTCTCACTAATTTCTCAAACCATCTATCCGAACCATTGTCTCTGGTGTCCTGTGTTGATAGATGATTTGCCGGAACTCCATTCTTTGACATAAAACCATTAGCTACACTTTTATATTTTCTCTGAAGACTATGTGGTGGATTTGAAAGAGGAGAGGATTTGTAAAATGGGCCATCTTCTAAATAATGTGATCCTGCCTTACTATACACTGCCATTTCAAATCCTTCTGATGCAGCTTTCTGATCTAGCTGTTTAAGACCATAATATCCTTGTAAGCTGCTCATGGCTGGCGAAACTTTTGGCTGGGGAGAGGGTTTAAGTTTCAGGGACTGAAATGAATCGAATATATCAGAGTGTCGACAACTTGAAGAGGTCTGCTCAGAGCTGCTAGGTTTGCAAAAAAAAAAAGCCTGATGTTAGCCATTATTGAATATGGTAGTTTGCAAAGGTAGAATAACCAAGGGACAAGCTTCTGTGTATGAAAAGACATTTTCAGGTTCTTGGTTCAATAAGCCAAATAAAAATTAAGTCAATTTAGCATGTAGTTAAAGTCATACAAATACTAAACGTAGAGGTAAATCAACTTAACACAATCGTCAAACATGTAACTTCAACAGGTCCATATAACAGTTTATGTTGAAAGTTGTTATTTAAAAAGCATGAGCTTATAATAGAGTTCAGGCTCCTCCTCTCAGCTTGTCTAGGCCAGATTAGTGATAAAACCCTTATGATCTCTCAATATCACATGTCGGATATTTTTTTCGTCACTTTGATAGTTGAACCTGAAACAACATAGAACAAGTTCCCTACATTTTTTCAGGGCCCAAATGCCATCCACCTCTAGTTTGTTAGATGACATTCATAGCTTGTTCATAAGAGGTGTCTTGTGTAAGACAATAATTCTCCCTTCAGTATTGGTTTGGGAAATTAGTGAGAAGACGTTAAAAGTCAGAGAATGGAGTTTTAATGTTGCTAAGATTTGGTTTACTGTATGGTTTATTTTGTGATTTCAATAAAGCTAGATGTGGATCTAGTTGGATTTGGATGTACTAGTAGACTGGATTTGGAGTTGTAGATCTAGAATTTGATCATGTTGCTTTTGATAAGCTAATTGTTCAATTCTACTCTGGTTTAGCTCGTTGTTTCTGTCTGTATAGAATGTTAAGATGCATTGAGTTCATTACAGTGATGTTATGGTTTGTTGTGTGGCTTATTGTGTGCTTTGACGGAAACTAGTGTTTCTTTCTTTGTTCAAATCAGTATCTGCAGAGTTGGTTGGAATTGATGTAGAGGTATTTGGATGAACTAGTTAACTAGATAACTATGCTAGGTTTTGTGGTCAAGAACTAATGATATGTGAACATTGTGTTGGAAAAACTCATATTAATGCTATCACACTATTAGTTGCATTATAAAATGTTTGTATGTTTGTCCCAACACCAGATATTTGGTTTGTTGAAGCAATCATATATCTTCCTTTTTTTATCTTCTTTCTGAAAAAATTGGCCCAATTATGTATTCAATGAAATGTTAAGTTTTGTATTTCGTAAAGTATCAAAATAATCAATTTAATGTTTTTTGTCAGGCTAACATGATCAAGAAGACTGGAACTACCGTAGTTGGAACAAATAAAAAGAAGTGGGTATGTTTGAAAAAACTACAAGATCTTTCTTTTCTTTCAAAAAGGAGGAAAATTTTCATGTATATAATTACTGCGTTTGCATCAATACCTTAATATGTTTGTTTTTAGAAAAATTCAATTAGTCATTTTTGATATCCCAATTTGTTCTAGTTAATGAGGATCTAATTTCTATTATTATATAGGTTATAAAATTTTTCTTCTGTGCATTTCTTGTGCAAAATTTTCAAGGAAATTGAGGTCAAGTATCGACTTCAACATTCTCGACATTTGGATTGATGATTTCATAAAGATTTATTGTAATTTTTTTTGGAGATTTTAATTCCATTTGAATTAGGAGTTAATTAGTTGGTTTTATGTTGAGATTATTACATTTAAGTTAGATCTCAATTTTACTTGAGATATAAAAGATAATTTGTTTTGACATTGTTTACTTTTACAGAAAACTTATTATATTGCTATTTTGTTCTTTGATTATAATATTAGAAAATATTTGCTTTATATAATATTTCTTGCTTATCATGAAGGAGATAGTTTTGAATGCACGAATTGTTTGTATGCATTTGTGTCTTGAGAAAAATTATATATAGATTTTTCTGGGATGTTTAAGAAACTTGGTAGCGACATTTAGATTAATATGACATTTTAGATAAATATAAAATAATATCACCAATTTTTTATGACATTTCAATAATAGCATTTGTTGACATTTAACTAAAGTGTCAGAAATTTCAATGTGACATTTTATAAATGTCACAAGTGTCTTGAAATTTATTTTACCAACATTTAATCTAAATGTCAGAAAGTTTAAGTGACATTTCATAAATGTCGAAAAAATAAATGTCATATATCTCATATCGACATTTACTTAAATGTCAAAAATAAATGTCATATATTTCATACCGACATTTACGTAAATGCCAAAAATAAATGTCATATATCTTATACTAACATTTACCTAATTATCTAAAATAAATGTCATATATATCTCATACCGACATTTACCTAAATGTCAAAAATAAATGTCATATATCTCATACTGACATTTACCTAAATGTCGAAAATAAATGTCATATATCTCATACTGACATTCACTTAAATGTCAAAAAATAAATGTCATATATTTCTTATCGACATTCACATAAATGTCAAAAAATAAATGTCGTAATAATCTTACCAACATTTACAAATATGTTGCAAAGTAAATGACGCAAATTCTTTTCAACATTTACCTAAATGTCACAAATTCTTCTCGACAATTACCTAAATGTCAGGAAAGTTCCCGACACTAAAATTTATGACATTTGGTCCAAATGTAAAATAAATGTCGGTAAACAAATTTGTGACATTTAAACATCATAATACGACATTTAGAAAATATCGTTGTATCTCCACTTTCTTGTAGTGGCGAGGTTAGACAGAGTCACTAAGTCTACTCACTTCTTGGCTGTCAAGACTACAAATTCAGCAGAGGACTATGCCAAACTCTACATCAATGAGATAGTTAGGTTGCATGGGGTCCCCTTATCTATCATCTCAGATAGAGGTCCTCAGTTTACCTCTCATTTTTGGAAATCTTTTCAAAAAGGTCTTGGTACTTAGCCAAATATCAGTACAACATTTCATCCACAAACGGATGGTCAGGCAGAACGTACCATTCAGACCTTAGAGGACATAATGAGAGCATATGAGATCGATTTCAAGGGAAGTTGAGATGATCACCTACCTCTCATAGAGTTTGCCTATAATAATAGCTTCCATTATATTATTCAGATGGCCCGGTATGAGGCACTATATGGACGTAGATGCAGGTCCCCGATTGGTTGGTTTTAAGTAGGTGAAGCAACCTTGACTTGGCCAGATTCAATTCATGAGGCTATGGAGAAAGTTTAACTCATCAGAGATAGAGTAAAGACAGCTAAGAGTCATCAGAGGTTCTATACAGATATGAGGAGAAGGGACTTAGTGTTTGAAATCGATGATTGAGTTTTCCTGAAGGTGTCACCTATGAAGGGGGTGATGAGATTTGGCAAGAAAGGGAAGCTACTTCCAAGATATGTAGGTCCATACAGAATTCTAAAAAGGGTTGGTAATGTGGCTTATGAGTTAGAGTTGCCAGCATAACTTAAAGCAGTTCATCCAGTCTTGCACATTTCCTTGTTGAAGAAGTATGTGGGTTATCCGGCATCAATAGTACCATTAGAGAGTGTGGCTGTGAAAGATAGTCTCACCAATAAAGAAGTGCTTGTTGAAATTCTTAATCGTCATCTTCGTAGGTTGAGAAATAAGGAAGTTGCTTTAGTAAAGGTTTTGTGGAGGAGTAATTTAGTAGAGGGAACTACTTGAGAAGCAGAAGCAGCCATGAAGGCCAAGTATCCTTATCTCTTTCCTTTCGATTCCGTTTCAGTTTGAGGTAATAGTTCCTCTCTAGCCTCTCAGTTTACTCTTGCGTAAATTAAGTCTTAATAACATGTTCCCTAAGTTGTTCTTGCATTTTAGCATATTTGCATGTTATTGGAACTCAGTTTAGTGAGATATCAGTTCCTAATACTTAGTGGTAGGGATTGCAGGTCCTTTCCTCCATACTCAGCTAGTTTAGACCTCATTCGAGGATGAATGTTCCTAAGTGGGAGATAATGTAACACCCCGGATTTGAGAAAGACCAAATAGCAGATTTTCAGGTGCCATCGATGGAGGCCAAACCACGGCCCCGTAGGTATGGTTCTTGGTTGGCCACCCAGAAGCCCAAGAAAAATCATAACCCACGGTAAAGACCTACAGACCGTTGGTGGGACAACGGTTCGTGCTCCAGAGTCCGTGGATCATGCCCACCATCACCATGTCTCAGTTGCCAACCGACACCCTGCCAGGACAAACCGTCAGTCAGTCCACGGTCCGTCGATCAGGGGTCGTTAATGGTCTCATCAGCTTTTTAAGTTAGGGCATTTTGGTCTTTTCCCCTATGCATTGAACATTTAAACTATGTCATTTAATACCTAACCAAAACCTTTATTCACCAAAAAACATCAACACTTAGAGCAAAAAGAGAAGAAAGAGGTGCAAGTTTCCCATGAATAATCAAGAAGGTTTGCTTCAAGTTTAAGCCCTGAAATCGAAGGATTTCGCCATATATTTCGTCACCAGGTATGTGGAATTTCACTAGTGGGTTCCTTTCATCTACTAGGTCCCTAGAATTCAGGCAGCTCCTTGATTTTCCATATCTGGTTTAGACCTAGTGTTTCTAAAGCCTTGGAGTTTTGTTGTGATTAAGCTGTTGTCGTACCTGTAATCGAAATAACATGTTTTCTTGGAAAAGTTACCTAATTCGTTGTATGAAACTGAGAAAAAAGAAAGGAAAATACTACTTATATAACTGTGGTGTCCAGGACAATTTAGGTGCACATCGATTAATTCATGAAGCACTTGCTACCTCCTGACTAACAAATGTACCAAGTAATTTTGATCATCAGTCTTTGACTGATGGAATCACCTAGTTTTTTGTAAAACCCCAAAAATCATACTCGGACTTTCAGCAGAAAACTCAAAAAAAATTGGTGAACCACGATAGGGTTTATGGACCATGAAAGGAACCACGGTCCGTCAACCTGCCCGTGGTTAACACCCTCCAAGTGGTGGTGGACCACGGGACCCTTCAAGGGCCGTGGACCACCCCACGAGCCGTGAGAAGGCTCAAGTAAGCCAGGCAGAACCAACTAGGCCCAGACATAAGACCATGGAGCCCTCCATGGACCGTGGTCTTGATGACGGGTAGTGGTGGCGTCCGTCGCCCTGAGCTAGCAGATCTCAGCCCAAGTGAAGAACCACAGTGGCCTTCACGGTCCGTGGTAGGG